TCAGTGTCCTGACTTGGCTGCAGACGCCACGGACGACCGTGGCGGATCAGCGTCGGACGGGTGCGCCGCGTCGCTCGCATCCGGCACGACCCGCGGGATGCGCCGGCTGGCGGGGGCGAGCACGGTCAGACCGGACGCTCCGACCCCCGGGCCAGCACACCCTGTCCGCCGCCAAAGCAGCGTTCCACAGCCGCGTGCTGCGCCGGCACAGAGCGTCTCCGCAGCGCCAGCGGCCCGGATGTCCGCCGCGACCGACGCAGGGGCGCCGGCCTCCTCTCCAGGCGCCGCCGGTCAGCGTCCGCCCGCCGCCGACGACCACCCGCGCGGCCGCCGACCCCGCCGTCCCGCCGTCTAACGACGGCTGTCGGCCGGCGGCCGCGCCGACCACGGCAAAGCGCCGGCTTTAGCGGCTCTTAGCAGGCGCCATTATAAAGATCACAGGCCGTGAGATAGCGGCCAGCGCCGAGCAGATATTAATTTCAGCGGACGGCGCCGCGGTCCGGCCGCCTCTCGCGTCCGGTTTGGCCGGCGCCCGCTCGGCCGCGGCCCCGGCACACGCACCGACCGGGCCGGCCGATTCCCCGGCCGGCGAGGCGCGGGCTGTTTTGCGGGCCGCGTCGGGACTGACGGCCGGCCTGCATAATCGAGTACGCGAGACGGCGGCCGCACTCGCTGCCGGTCCTGGCGCCGGCTCGCGCGGCGAGCTGGCGTACGGCTCACTCCCCGGCGTCTCCCGCTGAATTATCGATGGTGGCCGGCGGCCGGCAGTCCCGGCGACAGGCCAGGTAGCTCCGGGATTGGTACACGGCAGCGCGACGGATCCACGCCGAGTTTTGCACTAAATCATTTCCGGTGAACTACGTGTCAGAGCCCACGCCGAGAATGTATTGGCCGGAACTGCCTCCGGAGCATGTGTGAGGGAGGCTTTGGAACGACGGCTCAGTAGGCGACACGGTAAATACTGCGCGTTAGGCGCATTAATCATTTAGCTTCCACGCCCATAGGCACGTACACAACGGTAAACACGAAATGGCCCGAACGAAACTATTTCGGTACGAAATGTTGAAGCAGAAGCGCGCCTCAGTACAACCGAATACGAACATCAAAACGAAAACCCGCTCACATCAAACCCCCGCTTGGACAGTTCGGATGTATTCCACAAGAATATACCTGCTCAGTGGTCAACACGCTAGTCAGAGCTACACTCGCACTGTGACGGGTGGCTACGGCCACGGCCGGTCGTTGGGTCTCTGTTGCTTCTGGTGTGACTTCTGAGTGACCCAACGCCGTCACGGTGGGCCGTCGGGTCACACCGGCGCCCGTGAATGACCCACCGCGGTCAGGGACGGCCACCGGGTCACACTGGCGTCTCTACATGACCCGAAGCGGTCACGACCGGCCGTCGGGTCACACCGGCGCCCCTGAGTGACCCGCCGCGGTCACGGACGGCCACCGGGTCACACTGGCGTATCTACATGACTCGAGGCGGTCACGGTTGGTCGACGGGTCACACCGGCGCCTGAGTGATCCGCCGCGGTCACGGCCGGCCACCGGGTCACGCTGTCACCTCTGCGCCGTCCGGCCGTGGCGCCGCCCGCTCCTGTTCCTGCTCCTGCTCCTGCTCCTGCTGCTCGGGTCGGCAGCTCAGGTGGTCCGGCACCGGCTCGCGGGCGGTCTGGCGACGATCAGGACTCAGGTAGGTCAGGTCAGGTCATGTTAGGCGTCGCCCTTTGGCTGCTCACCGGCCGAACAGTGATGCGATCGATATAACCTCCCAGCATCAAATGGCATAGTGTAAGGCTCAGAGGACTGTGATGCTGCCGCAGAAGTGCGCTTCAGACCAGCGCCTCTGGCTCCCCTGGCGTCTCTATCGTCTCCGATGACTCCGTTGCCCCTGGCGTACCCGCGGCCCTGGTGCCCGCGCCCCGTCCCTGTTACCTCTGAAGTCTCTCGTGTCTCCGCCGCCCCTAGTGTCTCTGTTGCCTCTGGTGTCTTATATGTCTCCGTTGTCTCTCTGTTTTTCTTCACTTAGGTGTTTCTCGTGCCTCCGTTGCCCCTGGTCTCTGTTGCCCCTGGTGTCTGTTGCCTCCTATGCCTCCGTTGCCCCTGGTGTCTTTGATGCCTCTGGTGTCCCTCATGTCCTCGAGGCCTTTAGTGGCTCTTGCACCTTTCGTGTTTCCGTTACCTCAAGCTGTCTCTCGCGGCTCCGTCACCTCTGGTATTTTTCGTGACTCCGTTGCCTCTGGTGTATATCATGTCCTCATGGCCCCCATTGCCTCTCGTATTTTTCGTTTCCTCGTTGCTTTTGGTGTTTCTCGCGTTTAAGTAAACTCTGATGTCTCTGTCACCCCTGACATTTTTCGTGACTCCGTTGCCTCTAGTGTCTCTGTTGTCCCCGGCGTTTCTTGTGTTTCCGTTACCTCCAGTCGCCTCGCACAATAACAGCTCTTCCGCAGGCCAAGCGTAAATCTTGTTAGCTTCAAACAGCTGTCAGCCGAATAAAAAGCAACACGTGATCAAAAGGAGGTGGGTTTCATCTCAGCTAACAACGTGCTGACAGTTCGTAATCAGTGGCGCGGAAGTTCTTTGGGCGCTGCAAAAGTATCACACCGCCAACACGATAGAGACTGGGATGTGCCTTCCTACGCCTCAGAGGACACGAACATGTACGCCACACCAGGAGTTCCACGAAATAGAGTCGCAAGACCTACGCATCCCACACCGGTTATGTCGACGCCCTTGCTCAGTGGGCACTCAACCTTGATTCCGTGCAGTAGAACCCGACTCGACTAATGAAGCGTGTAGTTAATACTAACTTCGAGGCAGCCTCGTCAAGCTCTGTTGAGTTCACTTCGGTTATGAGTGAGGAAATTTTCTATTTAAATTGGCAAATCATTGCGACACAGTTTTTCTGTAGTAACAGCTTGATATATGCCACAAACCGGGCTGCATGTCAAGCCATTAAAGTCTTATGCAGTCATTTCTAGGCGGCATTAAGTCACGATTAAAAAAAAACATATATAACTTCTCTCCCACTGTACCAGGCAAAAGTTTTGAGCGTGATCGATTCAGTAATGACTCTAGCTGAATTCTATTAGTTCCAGAGCGGCTACAAACGGCAGATGGGACCGTGCCAATGTATTGTCCCGAATCCCTTACGTGACTTAAACATTAACACTTTGTTCGAGGGCCTTCACATGCCACTGTTGGAAATTCACGTTAAGATGTACAGCGAAGCGATCCGTGTTTCGTGTCGGGTGACGGCTGTACCGGCCTCTGTCTGGCACTGAGACTGGGACGTCCAGGACGGGGCCGTGCCAACGCTGTCATGGCCCCAGACGTCCGGGAGTGCCACCTCTCACGGAGACCTCCACTGAGCCCCCAGAGGCCAACCCACACGGGTGCCTCCAATCATTTAACACCCGCCCCTCACTGAGTGATCGCATGAGACCTCCGCCGAACTGACCCACCACGTGACCTCCGGTGATCTTCCCACCCATTCCCACCCACCCCACCAGCTCTGTAGATAGTCTTACTGACACCCACTCGGCAGTGACTTCTGGTGACTTTCCTGCGAGCGGACGGGCATCTGTGACCTCCGATGGTATTCCACCTGCACTACCCGCTTCATGACTTTCCACCACCTATCCACAGGCTTCTCACTCCACGACCTGTGACCACCTCAACGACCCCGCTCACATCGCGGCCCCGGTGACCTGTTCATCCACCGCCACTTACCCGCGTGACCTTCATGGAGATGCCCTCGGGCAGCATGCGCTGGGTGTACTCGAGGAAGGTGTCTGCCGTGCTGCCTGTCAGCCGCAGCAGCTCTAGCACGCGGAAGTATGTACGGATCTCGTATTGCACCTTGTGCTTGGCGAAGATGTGCACCGACTTGAGCAGCGACATGCGCTCGTGGTGGCGCGGCAGGTCGTAGCTGCCGGCAGAGGCGGGGGATGAGGCGGTGGCGGTGGGCAGACGGGGGGGGGGGGGGGGGGGGGCGGTGGCCAGGCTGCAGGCGGGAGTGAGGCGGTGGCGGTGGACAGGCTGGGGCTGGAAGGTAGGCGGTGGCGGTTAACATGCTGAGGGCGGGAGTGAGGCAGTGGCGGTCGACAGGCTGGAGAAGGGGGGGGGGGGGGGGCAGGGCGCCAGTGAGGCGGTGGCCGCGTAATGAGGCCACCTGAACGGCCGAGTGGCGCCGCGGCACCAGACACTGTCTCGAAGCTGCCCGGCGTACGAGGAGCCCTGACTCTTCGTCCGTCCGTCGCCCGCACCGCCGCACGACCGAGGTGACTGTATACCCCCCCCTCTCCCCCCCCCCCCGAAGCGGAACGGGAGGCGACCGCACACACTGCCCGTGGCGGAGCGAGAGGCGACTGCAGACACTACCCCGCAGCGGCGCGGAAGATGACTGCAGACACTGCCCCGAAGCGGAGCGGGAGGCGACTGCAGACACTCCTCCGAAGCGGCGCGGAAGGTCACTGCAGACACTGTCCCGCAGCGGCGCAGAGGTGACTGCAGATCCGCTCTGGAAACCTGGCGCCAGTGGTCCCCACCCTCTTCACCTGTGAACCGCTTCACCGACCCCGGCTCCGTGCCAGCCCTCCGTCGATCACAGCCCGCTGTGGTCTCTACAAAAAGATCTGCATCCCATACCGATATCAGACGTACGGCCCGCTGGCCAAGCTCGGGCCCGATTCGGCCGGGCGGCCAGCGTCAATATCGGCGCGCTCAATACGCCGCTATGAATGCGCCAGCTTCGAGTTTCCGCCTGAATTCAGCGGCCGCATAATTTGGCCGGCGGCGGCGGCGGCAAGTTGTGCGGGGCGAGAAGCGACGGCCGTCGACGCCTGGGGAGGGGGAGGGAACGGAAGCAGCCGGCGCTGCGGACCCGGGGTCACTGCCGTGTTGCTGGCTATGACGGGTGTCTGGGAAGCACTCTGATTTTTAAAAAAAAAACGCTTATCGTTGGATTATCCGTCACCCCAGCTGATGATCGAGTTATAACAACAAAAAGTCGAGAAAAGTGGCGTTACATCGTTTTCATTCTCATCAACACACAAAAAGAGTCACCCACTCGTCATGGCATGCATGACATGAAGCGGACGTGACGTGGGCCGGCTCTCCCCCCAGGTTCATACTGAAACGTGACGTGAACCGCTCCCTCGCAGACTCACACCGAGACGTGACGTGGGCCGGTCCTCCCAGACTCACACCGAGACGTGACGTGGGCCGGCCCTCCCAGACTCACGCCGAGACGTGACGTGGGCCGGCCCTCCCAAACTCACACCCAGACGTGGCGTGGGCCGCCCCCTCCCAAACTTACACCCAGACGTGGCGTGGACCGCCCCCTCCCAGACTCACACCGAGACGTGACGTCATTCTGGCGATGGACGACTGTTACGACAAGGACGACTGTCACGACGACTGTCACGACGACTGTCCGATATGCAGCTCATTTTCGCAAAGCCACTTAACATGCTTCCAATGGGTCCAATCCAATGGATCTTTATACATCAAAATTGCCCAAGCAAAGGAAAAGCAAGTCTCTCAACGCAATTTGTGTAAAATGGTGACTAGAACGACCTGAATACGCTTGCTAAAAACGCACGTTGCTCTCCTGTCTCGTGCTTCGTGCCTTTAAGCTCCACGATGATGTCACATGCCACGTTTGCCGCATCTGCTGGCTATTGGTATGCGGGCACGTGGCACGCATTGTCTGCCAGAACCTCCGCTCGTTTCAAAATGAAGTTGCCGAGCATGCCTAAGTGATGCGGTGACAAGCCTTGTGCGTATGTAACAAAGTGAAGTTATTTTCGCATATATCATGCATTTTTGCAACTGATAATCATGCCTTACTACTTTGTTGTTGTTGTTGATTGGAGTTTTAGGGCGCGTCGACTACTGCGGTCATTTTGCGCCCATAACAGCCCAATGACTAGCTTCGGAGTGTGACTATGAAATGACTAGAAAATACGTATTATTCAGAAATATAGACGGCTGAGTCGTACCAGGAGCGCGTCATTGATACGAAATTTTTGGCAGCCTAAAAACTTCCTACACGCGGTATCAACTATTCAGGCAGGCGTATATAAAGTGCAGAACTTAACATGCGATACAAACCTGAGGGTATGTTCGATATATGGTGACCTGTCACAGCGTAAATCGGAGAGCGCCAGGGACGGCGCCGCCGGGCCAAAGTACCTCAGACGCTCGACGCGTAGTGTGGGGCAGCATACGAGCACATGTTCCACTGTGAGCGTGGTGTTGCAGTGGCAACATCGTGGTAGTTCGTCGTGACATAGTAAGTGTCGATGTGTAGCATAAGTATGGCCGATCCGCAAGCGACACAGGGTTACTTCCTCCCGTCTGGACTTTCGATAGGGTGACTGCCATTCCTGAACAATCGGTTTAATGCTCTTCAGTTTGCTAGTGCCTATCACATCCCATGCGCTCTGCCATTCCTCGCGCAAAAAGGCAGAGATGGCCGAGCACAGGTCTGTAGCGGGTATCGGAAACACTCTGCGACAGGGACGACGAGTAGCACGCTTTGCGGCGGAGTCAGCCAGCTCATTTCCCGCGATGCCAACGTGGCTCGGGATCCAGCAAAGTACTACGGTCTTGCCAGCCCGGTACAGAGAGTCGAGACGCAGTAAGATATCCTGTATAAGGGGATTTACCGGATTAAAACACCTTAATGCCGAAAGGGCACTTAGGAAATCCGATAAAATCACGTGCAGACTGTCTTCGCCCACCTCTATAAAACAAGCGCCTTAATGATGGCCACAAGCTCTGCAGTATACACGGACGCATGGACTGGCAGTGTAAATGATCGCGTATCGGGACCACACACAAAAGCGGAACCAACACCCGTATCCGTTTTCGAGCCGTCTGTATACGTCATTGTGAACCCCTGATATGTTTCGATATGCTTCAGAGCTGTTGATCTGGCAAAGTACGGAATCATATTTTGTTTCCGAACCTCCGACAATGAGACGTCGACAGTTGGCGATACCATCACCCACGGAGCGGTCGGCAGGCTACGTGGGCGTGCCACACCCCGAAAACTTAAGCCGCTCTCATGAAGAACATTACGAACACGCACACAGAAAGGCGCCACACGTGTTGCTTGTCCGGACTGAAAAACATGGGATGTATGGCGTGAGAACACGGCGTCATGTGTTGGGTGGTTCGGGAATTGCGCGAGCTTACAAGCGTACCGCATTCCCAACAACTGTCTTCGGGTAGCCAGCGAAGGTTCGTTGGCTTCCACAAGCAAGCTGGCTGTCGGAGACGTACGAAATGCACCAGTAATGATTCTCAACGCAGCATGATGGACCGCATTCAAGATGCGTTTTACGGACTCAGAGGCGCCATCATATACAACACACGCATAGTCCAGCTTGGAGCGTATCAGTGAACGGTATAACAACAAAAGTGTTTTCCGATCTGCTCCGTACGATGTTCGTGCCACACATTTCAGTATGTTCAGTGCCTTAAAACACTTGTCACGCAGAGTGGTAAGATGCTCCCTGTAGGTCAAACGCTTATCAAAATGTAATCCCAAAAACCGTGCCGCCGTATTGCAGGGGATCGACTGTCCATAAAGCTTAAGCACCATGTCGGGACACTGACGCCGGCGTCGACAAAAGTGGACGGAAACTGTCTTCGAGGTGGAAAACCGTAACCCGTTGAGCATGCTCCATCTTTCCAAGCGAGCCACAACCAACTGCAACTGACGCGACATGGACGCTGCTGTGGCAGAGCTGCACCAGATGGCGAGGTCATCAACAAAAAGCGAGCGACCAATCGCCTGGGGAAGACTGTCCCCAACATCATTTATCATGACGGCAAACAACGCAACACTCAGTACACTGCCCTGGGGTATGCCGTTCTCTTGTGTGTATCTTTTCGAGCATACGGAACCGACACGGACGCGGAAGAAACGGCCAGCAAGAAAGTTCGCAAGAAAGGTAAGCATAGCTCCGCGTATGCCATACTGGAACAGCTTCCGTAAGATGCCATATCGCCAGGTGGTGTCGTAAGCCCTTTCAATATCGAAGAACACAGCTCCAACATGTCGCCTTTCCCTAAAAGACATGCGCACAGTTGAGTCCAAGGCTAAAAGATGATCAACGGTGCTACGGTTTTTCCTGCAACCACACTGCGTTCGAGAAGATATTGTTGCTTTCTAAAAACCAAGACAATCGTGTACGAACCATCCGCTCCAGGAGTTTGCACATACACGAGGTCAGCGCAATTGGACGGTAGTCAGATGGATTCTTCCCATTCTTGCCAGGTTTCAGCAACGGAACTATAAGCGACTCGGGCCAAGAAGTGGGGAACTCCCCCGTCTCCCACAACTGGTTGAACGCCACCAACATAGCTTGTGTCGCTGTTGGTGGAAGTCGCTGGAGCATATCATTATGAATTAAATCCGGGCCTTCTGCCACGCTGCGCAGAGAGCTAATGGCAGACGTCAGTTCAAACATTGTGAAAGGTTTGTTATATGAAAACTCTTCGGCTGTATGAAAGTTTATCTGGGCTGCTTCGCAACGAGCACGATGGCGTATGAAATCAGGAGCGGCAGTTGTCCGCCCACAACGCTCCGCGAACGCACGAGCCATTTCGTTCGCCACCTTAGAGGGGTCCAGTATGTCCTGGCCATTCATATGAAGTACGGGGTGCGGCACTGAGGACTGTTGGCCTGCTAAACGCTTCACCCGCGCCCAAACGACCGAAGTCGGCGTTTGGCAATTTAGCTGGCCCACATATAAACGCCAAGACGTACGCTTGGCTTCCACGACAGTACGTCGGGCTGCCGCCCGAGCTCGTCGAAAAGCGATTAAGTTGTCCGTAGTGCTGTGTCGATCGAAGTCTCGCAGGGCTTTTTTACGCGCACGTATAGCATCGCGGCACTGGTCCGTCCACCACGGA